GCCCGGCTGAGCCTGCAACTTATGTCTCAGTTAAGCATTAACCAGCACCCTAAGTGTCTAACACTTCTAATACTACTCTTACTCAACGAAACAGTGGGTCCCAACTGAGTTGTGGAGCACCACTATGTAGAGGAGGTTTGAGTAATATTGGTGGTGGGAGGTAATCATATGCTTAATAATTTATTCCTTTTAAGGGTTCCTTTTATTTAGGGTTTATTAAGTCTCATCAAACGCATTAGTATTATTATCATGCTAGTCGTATCCTATGTCAAACATCTATCGGATTACACTAGTCGTAATTGGACGTGCATAATAATACATACAAACGCGATTTGTCCAATTTCATGCATACTAGACGTCTTAAGCCATAAAGCATACATATCGTGATGCACTATCTCATGCATGCTAGTCGTACAAAACATACATGCAAATAAAAAAATTTATTTTGAGATAGTCATGGTTCTCGATCTTTTGTCCATCTTGCTTCTCAAGCTACGGCTTCTTGTCGTCTATACGCCACTAGCCTAATTTCTCTAATTACAATTAAAGAAACTCCAAAACATCTTGTACGACTATACATTAATTTGAAATTTAAATTACAAATTTGAAATTCAAATTACATCTCTTTTAAAAGAGCCCAAAATTACACATTAATTTAAAATTTGAAATTTGAAATTTCGGGCACCATGACCATCCCCTTCCTCATTTGCACCTGAAATGTTAGACAACTCACAAGTACAAAAATATTATCATATAATATATTTTTCACGTATGTCTTGATATTTAACAATTAAATATTAAAACATAATTAAAATTCAAAACTTTTTCTTAATTCTTCAATTGGCCGAATTATATAACAATTTATTATAATTCAAATTTTGTTGTCTCTTTCTCAAAGAGAACACAAAATTAAACCAATCATGTAGCCATTAACATGTTAATGGCCGAACCATATACCTTGTGTATATGATATAAATTTTCAAAAAATTTAATGTCATGCACATGAAACAATTCATGGAGAAAAATAAGAAAACAATCAAGGTGTCCAAAACACCTTTCATGGTCGAACTCCACCCTTCAAAAAGGTGTTTCCTCTTTAAAACTTTCACAAAGTAAAAGACAACCATGTATACATATGGATTCATGAACATAGCATTCGAAATAACATGTTCATAAAAACGAAAACTTTAACTGTTTAAAGTATTGTAAATTGAAATCCATACGTAAAAATTGAATCTTTAACTTTTAAAGAAATTTTAACCGTGAAAAATATGATCAAAAACAAGGTACCATCACCCGTCTATGGTAAAGCAACCGGGCTCTGATACCACTTGAAAGTTCGAATTGGCCTTGAAGGCCGTAGCATGTGAGAGGGAAAAACAAAAAAAATGGGCTTGGGCTTGGGCCCGTAAGCCCACAACCCATCTAATGACAACACAGAGCACTAGCAATGCTTTGTTGCCCCAAAACTAGTTAGATTAGTGACTTGATCATCCTATTACACATATTTGGTTGCCGTATACATTTCCTTTCGTCTCAGTTACCTTCCCATAAAACCTAGGGTAAGGAAGCGTATCAACCCCTGCGGTTTAGGGTAAGCTTTATTCGAAATAGGGAATCTTCAATTTACATATTCTAAAGGCAGATCATCTCATGATCTCTTTTACTATGCATAGATTCCCGAGTCCCTGTAAATGTCATCCTGATTTCTCCGGTTTACAGATAACCTAATCTCTCACAGAGATTTGACGAATTCCTTCAGCTTATCACCCTAGCCCTGTGTTCTTTCAGGACAAGCCCAACAGTATACCTATGAGTCTCCATGTTTCAGGCAGACGAGGTGCACAATCAAAGCATGCCTTCTAGAACACAGTCTAGGCTTCTGGTCTTAGGAAAGACATACCCAAATATAAAGAGACTACTCTAATGACACTCTCTGTGAGAGTTCCTCATAGAGTCTCTTTGTGGGTCTGTTCAGTGCGAGCTATACCTTTATAGGTCCACCCACGAGTTTAGCTAAGACATCTCCATATCTGTAGCACATGAGGTCTATACCTTGTATCCATATACAAGTAGATAAGTCGTGCTAGTCTTACCCGAGATCACTGACCCCATTTTCAGTATCTCTAGACTAGGAACATAAAATTAGGAATAAACATCCGATATTCTTGAATCCTCATGATTGTGATCCCATCACAGATACTCAAGAGATACCTATTTTATTCCACGGGGTTTATCAAGTTATTCATAATATATTAACATTAATATCGAGACAGAATTATGAAACAAGATAAAGAGTGCTTTTATTTATGGGTTTGTTTTTTCTGATGTTACTTTAGATAACTTTATCTAATGTTCATCAAAACGACGTCGTTTTGGAACGGAAATCATGGTATTTTTGTAATTTTAATTTATTTCAGGGTTATAATAGTCTTTCTCACTTTACTTTTTTAATTTTTCAACCTCAAAACGACGTCGTTTCGATGAACATTAGATAAAGTTATCTAAAGTAACATCGGAAACTTTTTTCCCTTTATTTATTTTTGACAATATTAAAAAGGTCTACATCTATGTTCTTATTTAATCATAAGATTGTCTCTAGGACACCCAAATACTAACACGAGCAACGCATCAATCAAAGCCCGAACTCTTCAACTATGTAGTTGAATGAATTATAAATGTTGTATTACATAATTACACTAATTTTTTCTTGTTTTGATTCAAATTGCATGCTAATGCACAAGTAATTTTTTTTTTTGAAACTGATTCTAATTACCTCTTTGAGGCGAATCAGAACCTTTCCGGTATCCCCACGGGTTCGACTCTTTGAGCCGCCTATGAGACTAATCCAGAGTTCGGGTGCGTTCGAGTCTAAGGATTACGATACTTATGTTTCTCCCAGATGGTGTTGGTGGAATTCGAACCGAAATCCTCTCCCACCACTCAATTCTCATGCTACCAACTGAGCCACCACACTTGAGTCTAATGCACAAGTAATTAACCATATTCTTATTGTTCCTTTTTGTTCCAGGCTAGCCATTAGGCCCAGGCCGCTTATGGGCTCCACATTGGACTTAAGGCCACCCCTTTTGGGTTCAACTTTGGACTCCAGCCCATGTTTCGAGTTCTCATTTGAATATGGGGTTCAATCCAACCTTTTCCTTATCAAGGCTCAGATGATTGAGAGTAGATTTTTTTTTTCATGTTATTTAGCATAATCATATTATATAAGAGAATCTTAATTATATAATAATAAATTAATGATGATAAAAAATAAGAGGAAAAAATATTAAAATAAAAAGTTATAAAATCATGAATACATTGATGGATAATATTTTTTCACATAAAATTATGGGTAATACTTCTTTCATTTAATATGAGAAAAGTTTTTTTCCTACACTAATAAGAAATATAGAGCCCACAAGTTAGAAAAATAAAAAAGAAAAAAAATTACATATATATATATATATTTATGTTTCTATGATATAAGATAATCTTGAAAACAATTTAGAGAATCTTATATCAAATAACTCATCTCCCACTCATGCCACTTCCCCTTACAACTGTCATCCATTATACGTAACTGGCACACACCATACCCAATTCCACACCAAGTGACCTATTGGACTATCTGTTGTGTGCATTGTGCACATCCTTCTAAACCGCCATTACAATCGTGTATATAAAGTCTCTCACGGTGCCCAAGGGAACACTTCATCTCTGACATTTACAGATTCTACTCCCAGCACACATATATCCTTTTCCCTCACTTTACTGGTAATTCATGCACACACCCTTATTTAGACCGACGACCTTTTGGATCTTGATCTCCCTCATATCAAGCATCCCTACAATCATTGTACTCATTAATTATCCAGTCTGGATCAATTGGGTTGAATATTTTTTATTATTGATTCAAATGGTACATATTTAATTTCATTTAAGTAAATCTAAGATCCGAATTATTGTAAATGCAAAAAAAAATAAAATTAATAATAAATTTGGGAAAACTAGCTAGCCTACATGATGTGGATGTTCCCAGCAAACATAATTCTTTTATCCATAAAAAAAAAAAAACATCGCCGCACACACTAAACACTTTCTTAATACATAATGATAAGGAAATTCAAGATCATGAAAAACAAAAACAGATGTGAGATAACATAAGTTATGTTGGCAAGTTCAACCAGCCTTGTCTTGCCTCCGTCAATTGTATTGCTTACACTTGATTTTCGTTATAATAAAATTAAAAAAAAATTAAGCCTTAGACACGAGCTACAACTTAGATAACTGGTGCTTCCAACTTCTATATAATATAACGGGGAAAGTTATATTTACAACCTATTTTTTTTTTTACAACCTCTTATAATCAATATTTTAACCGTTGATTTTCGTCAATCAACGATTAAGATTTTCACAAATAAAATTTATTAATTAATTATTAATTCGCAATAAATCTTAACCGTTGATTGACGGAAATCAACGGTTAAAATATTGGTGGTAAGAGGTTATAAAGAAAAATAGATTGTGAGTATAACATTTTCTCATAATATAATAAAAAAAACTTTTCAGTTTATTATGAACGAAAAATATGACTTAATTTAAAAAATAAATAAAAAACAACTAAAACAAACTTAATTAAACAAATTAATATTTTATTGTTTAATTATTATTATTTTTTCTCATTTCTTCACTCGTAAGAAAAGAAAATAATAAAAAATAAATAAAACAATTGTCAGCAAGAGGCAAATGCCACGTTCAAGAGTAAAAAAAGAAGGCAGGGAAACAGAACTTGGCTGATCTTATTCTTCTACACACTGTTATTCAACAAACACATTCGTCTTCTTTTTTGTGTCAGTTTCTTCACCTCTTTCTTTCTTTCTTTCTTTCTTTCTTTCCAATCCAAAATCCCATTTCCAAATCTATAGAATTTTCATTCCATTCAACAATTTTCCACGATAATCATTTCTCAGGGAAAAAACAGAAAAGAATCTACTCAAATGTCGAAGGGATTCAACGTTCCCCCAGTTGTTTTCCCCTCAGGCGGAAACCCAGGACAATCAGGAACTCTTCAACGTCGTCCAACGGCGCCGTTTCAACCTCGACAGAGCACAAACCCAATCCCCTTCATGTCCTTCGACATAGGCTCAGCAACGACGTCGTTCCCTGCCCCACAATTCGGCTCGGGATCATCCTCAAAATCAATCTCAAACTTCGACGACGAACCACCACTTCTAGAAGAACTCGGAATCAACACAAAACAGATCTGGAACAAAACGACGTCGATCCTGAACCCGTTCCGCGTGGCGAAGCCCAATCTCCACGAGGAAGCGGATCTATCAGGACCCGTTTTGTTAGTTATGGCATTCGGGTTGTTCCAGCTGTTAGCGGGTAAGATCCATTTCGGGATCATTCTCGGGTGGGTAACGGTTTCGGCGTTGTTTGTTTACGTTGTGTTTAACATGCTTGCGGGTCGTAATGGGACGTTGGATCTGTATCGGTGTGTGAGTCTTATTGGTTATTGCATGTTGCCGATGGTTATGTTGTCGGCGTTGTCGCTGTTCCTTCCTCAAGGTGGGTTTGCAATCTCCGCCGTCGCCGCCGTGTTCGTTATGTGGTCCACCAGGGTTTGCACCACCTTATTGGTTCAGGTTGCCACGTGGGATGAACACCCTGGACTCGTTGCTTATGCTTGCTTTCTTATTTACACTTTGTTTTCGCTTCTTGTAGTCTTTTGAAATCATATGTATACTTCATGGTAATTACTTCATTTGATTCATAACTTTAAACCCACCTTTTGTTTGGTTGCTCAAAATATTAGCAATACTATGCTTTTTTATTTAATTTTAATGTAAATAAATGTTTTTTTTTTATATTTTTACTAATAATTAAAAAATCATTAATTTAATGGGTGTGAGAATGAATTTTCTCCTTGTTTTAACATGGTACTATTATCTGGAAAAAGTATATGTAACCATTAATTATTAGGGATTAATAATTAATTCATATGTATAATTCAATTAACTATAAAAGTTTAATACATAGAAATTAATGACGGAATAAGAAGGGTCAAAAGATGATTTGTTTATTTGGTTGTGTTGAGTTGAGTTTCCTATTTTGAAAGACAGGGTGATGATGATAGATTCAAAATACTGAAAAGAGTCTCTTTCTTTATAATTTTTTTTTTTTAATGTTTCTACAGTGATAAATGCAGATAAGTTATTTACATTTACTTTAAAATGACATTGTTTGGGTTAAAAAATTATAAAGAGAAAGACTATTATAATTCTGAAACAAAGTGTAATTACAAAAAATACCTTAATTTTCGTCCCAAAATAATGTCGTTTTGGGTTCATTCTAGATAATTTATTTACATTCACGGTAGAAAAAATGAAAAAAAAAAAAAAAAACTTTTTTTGATTTTGATTTGTGAGTTTGAGTTTATGTGCTTGGAGTAAGCGGCAAGTAAAAGAGGCTTATAAGCAGTACCAAAGGGACTTGGGGTCAGCTTTGCTACAGTTCTTGAGATAAGTTTTTTAGTTGCTAACATTTCTTTTTATTTGATGTTTTGGGCTTCTAGATTCTTGGGAATGAATGGCTTGTGATTCAAACAGAAATTCATCCCTTATAATCAACTGTATCATTCTATTGGGATGATTGTTATTGAAACGTATTTTTCCCTTTTCCGCTTAAATTCTAGTTGTATGTAGAGAGTAAAATTATTATTTGCACTATGGCTTGGATTTGATTAGTTATTCAATAAAAAGATTATGCGATAGTGCTATAGTATGAAATACCATGGAGCTAGCATGACTAAACTTTTGATGGATCGGTTGTTCCTTTACATAAAAGAAGAAGATGGAGATTGAACATATATCCCGCTCTTGCTCTTCGAAAGTGTACACTTGGGGGTGACTTTGACCCACAAGACACCCAAGTATACGTAAGTGCTAATGCAGAAATGCTGGGAAATTTCCTAATATGGCACTTAAGAGGTTGGTTGCACACCTTCGACTACAAGAGCCCAAATTACATGCTGCTTGTGATTCCTAATTTCACAATTTTTAGACTTCTAAAAGAGTAGCAGTTTCTGGTGAAAATTGGACTCATTTTATAGAATGCTCAATCGAGACAGCTCTCCCAGATTCATAACTTTATGTACAAGCATTCGAGGCAAAAAAATTAAAATAATGCATTTAAATTAAATAATTACGCATTTAATGCTATTTTGTAAAAAATTACATATCTGTTGCACAATGAGACGCCACCTTTGGGCGTCACTCCCCTAGAGAAGACGCCCCATTGGGGCGTCTCATGTGACGCTCAAAGGGGCGTCTCATGTGCAACCTATATATACTCCACTTTTCTTTTTTCACTCCTTACTCATTTACCTCTCTAACCTCTCTTTAACTGCGGTTCGTAGCGAAGCTCTGCCAACGTAGGTAAGGTCATAATACCTCATATGTATACATTTAAATAACAGTGCTAGTTAGTAATACATGTTAGGATTGATTGTATATTAGAGATTTGGAACATTAGGATAGTCACTTAGAAATTTTGTGGCATGCTATGAATGTTGTAATGATATAGTAATTTTATTATTACGTAGTTATTATTATTAATTTTTAATTATGCATTAGGTTTTAGCATATTAATTAGTGATTTATAAATAGTGTTAGGGACTTCGTAAATTTCGTATGTATGATGTTATTAATGCGGGAGTGCATAACTTTGTAGTTAGTTAGGTGTGATGATTAGTACGTATTGGACAAGTTGGTAGTGACCTAGGGTTAAGTATTCAGTTAGTATTATATTATTTCTGTCCGATGTATTATTATTATTTAATTGCAAATAAATAACTGTTCTACGTTTTGGCGGGACTTCATAAATTTCAATTCTAGTAAATAAATGACGCATATGCTTAATTTTTGTGATAATCAATTATGTCACTGCTTAATTAAATTGTAAATAAAATGGGTTGTTATATGTGATTAATTTAAATGTTGTTTTATATTATATAGTTGAGGATAATGGCTGAGTCATCATCTTCATCGGGATCTGAGTCGGATGTAGAGCCCACCGATCCCAGCATGTGGATCATACCTGGGCCGTACAGGTGGGAGGTCCTTCGAAAGAGGACGCAAAAAGCTCATATTTCACAGCGAGTGTGGAATACAGAGCATGTACGAAAAATTAAGACCAGGCGTGGGAAGCCACAAGGGGGGCCACCTACCGGTGCTATTCCACAGGTTGTCGAAGAGTACCTAAGACAGGCGGGATTCATACATGTTGCCAGGATGCAACATATCCAGGTATGTTATTTACGTCGTTTTGTATTTATGTAATTATTCAATAAAATTCGTTAACACGTGATAACTGTGTAATTTATCACAGACCGATACATTTTTAATTAGTGCTCTGGTCGAGAGGTGGAGACCAGAGACACATACCTTTCACATGACCCAAGGTGAGATGACGATCACCTTACAAGATGTGGCAGGCATATTGGGCTTGCCGACTGACGGCACTGTCGTCACCGGATCGACCTCCGAGGATTGGCACGCTGCTTGTGCTGATGTTTTTGGACATGTTCCAGAGGCCGGTGAGTTCCATCATTCCGGCGACCTCCGCATCTCATTCTTGGATCGGCATTATACCCGGTGGACTGATCATGAGGGGAATCACGCTGCCGAGATCTACTTCACAAAAGCCCACATTGCCCAGATGTTGGGGACTTGGTTGCTGGAGGACAAGTCTGGAGGTAGCAGTTTTGGTTGACGGCTTGTCCCGTTGCTAGGTGGAGGATTTGAGGACATTGGCCAATTCAGCTGGGGATCTGCGGTTTTGACACACTTGTTCAAGAATTTGTGTGAATTGATAGATGCCCGTCGAACTGACCTGGGTGGTTGCCATATTCTCCTTCAAATTTGGGCATGGATACGATTCCACCCATTGCTCCACCCCTTCCTCCTCATCCAGAGCCAGGCACACATTATGGATGCCGGTATGATTTATTTACTTCATTTGATTTCGATAATGTATGGTTGATAATGTATATACTAACTGTATATTTTTTGATTATGATTGATAATGAATGTTTCTGATTGACAGGTTTAATACTGTAGAAAAGTTTAAACCTCATGAGGTCACCCATTATCGGGCAACATTGGACACACTCTGTAGAGATGAGGTTAGGTGTTGGATACTTACGATGTTGTTATTTCTCTATGGGTTTATTTTTTTTTTGTAACTCTATATATTGTTTCGCTTTTTTTTGTAGGTGGTTTGGCAGCCATATTTCGATTATGAGTGGCTTGACGTGACTGTAGAGCAGCAGTACCTGTGGCTTACTGCCACACCTATTATCTACTTCCACACAATAGAGGCATGTCAACCGGATAGGTGCATGCGACAGTTCGGTCTTGATCAACCCATCCCAGATAAATCTAGAAAGTTGAGAGGAATACATGATCATACTCTACGGGGGAAGGTTGAAGAGAACTGGAGACGTAAGCTGAGGGCTCACATTGATCGATGGAATACCAGGATTCAGCATATTGTACTGCCACCTCCATTATATGGTTTGATGTCACCTAATCATGTGTACATGGAGTGGTTCAGAGAGAGGGGAAAGCGCTACATATCTCGGAGGGCAGCAAAGATAGGCCGCATGGTGAGTTTTGTACATATTTTACATTTGTTTCACATTTCTAACATGTTTTCGTAATATGCAGATTGACGGTCTTGAAATGCTTTATCATGCAACAACGGCGGAGGAGTTTCCTCGATTTGGCCTACGGTATATCCACGAGGAGATTGGCCGGATTATTGGAATGTTTCGCGAGAGTTCACGAGTTGATGAGCCTGGACCTGAGGCACCCCCCGTGCAGACACAACCTGATCTTCAGTTGATTGTGGATGTTCCTCGTAATAGACGGGAGGGACGCGGATTAGGACGTAGACATGAGAGATTTGCTGCTGAGCCTGTCCCGATTATGGCACCGAGGCCAGTGGTCGAGACTCAGGGATGGTTCAGACCTCCAGTCATTGGTCCTACTTACGGGTCACAGCCGATTTATCATCACAGATCGCAGTATGCGGCAGGTCCTAGTCAGGCGGCGTCTGAGCATCCTTACATGAGTGGACATGAGCCAGTTTTCCAGGCGAGTCCGATGGCTATGGAAGGAGAGGATCCGGCATCCTCGCAGCCTAATTTCCAGCCATATTCACAGGGACTTGATGCCGATTACCCCTTTTGGTCTGCAGAGGACACGATTGAGTTGTATCGCTCTATCGTCAACATAAGTGAACGCACTCTGCCTAACACTTAAACATTGACATGTCAATACGGTAAATAAATACATACCTATGAAGAGATCTGTAATAACGTCCGCATCGAGCTGTCTATGACCCTGGGAAATGTGCTCATTCACACATTCATGTTTTCCACCCCATCTCGTAATCTTCCAATTTTCACGAAACATCGGTTTGATCGCCCTTACGCGCCACAGACAACCTTGATCATACGCACAACATTTCATGGACAACTTTGCAGGCGTGCTCTCAATTACAATGGCTTCTTGATGCTCCTAATGAGGTTGTGCTTAAGTGCCATTTGGACATCTTTTTTTTTTTTTTGCAAATTCTTGATTGACAAATAACATGTCACCCAGTTGCCACAGACCTTGTATTGAAGCCGATCCAGAGACCGAACCATCAGTACATGATTCTTGTTCGC